CCGCCTCGGGGCCCTCGCTTTTCTGTTGCTGTTTTTTATGTGTTGTTGCTGTATGTTCGATGTACTGTTGTGCTGTATGCATGGCTGTGTTTGTTTGTGTTGTTGCTGTTGGTGTTGCTGTTGGTGTTGGTGTTGGTGTTGGTGTTGCTGTTGTTGTTGCTGTTGTTGTTGTTGGTGTTGTTGTTGTTGTTGTTGTTGTTGTTGTTGTTGTTGTTATTGCTGTTGTTGCTGATGTTGCTGTTGTTTCGTATGTATTGCTGTGTGTTTGATGTGCTGTTGATTGCTATGTCTTGGTGTTGTTTGTTGTCGTTTGTTTTATGTATGTGTTGCACGATCTTCCTCTGAGAGGGGCAGGGCGGACTGACCTCACATCCAGGCTTGGGGGGCGGTGCAGCCTCGTGCACACTCACTGTGGGGCGTTGGGCTGCAGAGCTTGAGCTTTTTGAAGTCGGGAGAGGGGTGGGAAACCTACCAGTCTCCAGAACGCCGTCTCCGAACCCGAACTTGGTCGACAGGTCGACGTTGGTGTTGGTCGCACGTTTGATAAAATCCACCCAATCCTCGTACGGAACATGTCTTACACGAAAGACAGATTTGCATGTGCATTCTTGTCTGTGTGGTTCTTAGCCGCCCCTCCAGTAGACCGCGCGCGGCCCTCTTCGATTCATCCCAGCATCAATTGATGTGCTCTCCTGAGGAGAGCGGCCTGTACCGAGCTGGCGCGCAAATCTCGCTTTAGAATCGTCAGCGTGGTGCGTCCGTGGGCCCACGCCTGCAAGGCGGGGATTTAACCAGAAGCACCGATGGGGGGATGGATCTTCGGGGACTGTGGCTGGTGGTGGATATGGATATCAAACCATCCCTGGGTGCGTACCTCAACTGGACATCCGCGGTGAGGATTATTGTTGTTGTTGATGTCGTCGCCATGGCCATCGCCTGCGACTACCCCGCGACCCACCCGCGACCCCACCCGCGACCCACCCCGCGACCCACCCGCGACATACCCGCGACCCACCCCGCGCACGCCCCCTCACCATCGTCCGCAGCTGTGGGGTGCTGCGTGTTTGGCACCCCCCAAGCCCGAATCTATCCTTTTCCACCGCCCGCCGAGGTCCCCCAGGATCCATTCCCCAGGGCGGCGGTCATGGCTACATCCCCGCCTCGGGAAGCTACACCGCGCGTGCCCCCCCCTGGTGACGTAACTTTCGGCGCCGGCGGAGCGTGGGAATCCGAACACAGATCAGCTTGTCTGGACCATGCCCACCACTCCCAGACCCCGCGGCGGACGCAAAAGGTTACGTCACCGGGCCCCTATCCACCGCGCCCCTTACGCCGGAGGAGGAGAACATCATCCTGGCGCAGGACCCAATCATGAGCAGCTGCGAGTAGGGAAGCTGAAGGGTGGCCCAGCAGAAGGACCAGGGCGCGGAGGAAGAGGAGGGCGAATCAAGGAGCGACGAGCGATCGGGCACCCGGGGGGGGCCCTTTCTTTCAGGAGCCCGCAAGACGCAAGCCCGTCACCCGCACAGAAGCGCAGCGCAGAGGAATAACCGCCACGCGCGCTGGCCACCTCGGAAAATTCCAGCGACGCGCGCGGGTCGTGCGCGGCACGGGACCGTAAAACTGCCACTGGGGCCCCAGATGAAGCTCCCTACGGGGCCACGAGATGATTGAGGGGTCTGCCGAAATGGGTGGCAGGGACTCATGCGGATTGTGGCATGGGGACCTTCGGTGGAGCGGTGTGCCGCACTGGGCGGGGGGGACGCATGCGGACTATGGCATGGGGACCTTCGGTCAAGCTCCTTACGGGGAACGAACCGTCTGAGGGGTGTGCCGGAATGGGCGGGGGGGACGCATGCAGACTGTGCCAGCGGGACCTTCGAAGGAGCTCCCTACGGAACCACGAAATGTGTAAGGAGTGTACCGAGATGGGCGGAGGGGGGCGCATGCGGACTGCGTCACTGGGACATTCGCTGGAGCCCCCTTTCGGGGCCACGAAACGTGTGAGGGGTGTGCCGAAAGTGGCGGGGGGACGCATGCGGATTTTGCCATGGTGGACCTCCTTCGGTGGAGCTCCTTTGGGGCCACGCAACGTGTGAGGGGTGTGCCGAGATTGAGCGCGATCCACCGCCGCTTTACTATGGAAAATTCCCCCCTTCTCTTCCTCCGGAATCCGACCCCCCCCCCTCTCCGAAAATCTCTCCCCCCCTGCTCGAACCCCCTCCCCTCCTCCCTTCCCCCAGCAAAACCCCCCCCCTTAACCCATCCCCCCTCCCCCCCCTTCTCTGAAAAACCGAAGGGGGTCACTACCGGTTCGAACCCCCCCCCAGAAAACCGGGAGGGGGTCACTACCTGGTCGAACCCCCCCACTTCGCCGCCGGCAAAAGACTCCCGGGTCCCAACCACCGTCCTCACCACTGACCCCACCACCACCGTCCCCACCGCTGTCTCCACTGTTCCCACCACTGTCCCCACTGTCCCCACCAATGCCCCCACCACCGTCGCACAGTCCCCACTGTCCCCGCCACTGTCCCCACCACGGTCCCACTCTCCCCACTGTCCCGCTGTCCCACTGAGCTGTCCCACTGTTCCCACCACTGTCCCAGTCCCCACTGTCCCCAACACTCTCCCCACTATACCACTGTCCCAGTGTCCCACCACCGTCCTCACCACCGCCCTCACCACGGTCCCCACCACCACCGTCCCCGCCACTGTCCCACTGTCCCCACCACTGTCCCAGTGTCCCCTTACCACTGTCCCCACCACCACCGTCCCCACCACTGTCCCACTGTCCCCAATGTCCCCACCACTGTTCCACTGTTCCCACCATTGTCCCCACTTTCCCCACCAGTGCCCCACCACTGTCGCACTGTCCCCACTGACCCCACCGCTGTCCCCACCACGATCCCACTCTCCCCACTGTCCCCACTGTCTCCACCACTGTCCCACTGTCCCCACCACTGTCCCACTGTTCCCACTGCCCCCACCGCTGTCCCACTGTGCTGCCCCACTGTCCCCACTGTCCCCGACACTGTCCCACTGTCCCCACTGTCCCCACCACTCTCCCAACTGTACCACTGTCCCACCACCGTCCTAACCACCGCCTTCACCACTGTCCCCACCACCACCGTCCCCATCGCTGTCCCACTGCTGTCCCCACCACCACCGTCCCCGCCACTGTCCCACTGTCCCCATTGTCCCCTCACCACTGTCCCACTGTCCCCAGAGTCCCCACCATTGTCCCCACTGTCCCCGCCAGTGCCCCCACCACTGTCGCACTGCCCCCGCTGTTCCCACCACTGTCCCCTCCACGGTCCCACTCTTCCCACTGCCCCCACTCCCCACCACCATCCCCACCACCGTCCCAACCACTGTCCGGAGAAAAGAGGGAGTCGTTGCGGCGAGGGGGGAGGGGGGGGGTCCGAAACGGTAGTGAACCCCCCCCCCGGTTTTCGAGGAGGGGGGGGCAGGGGTTCGAACTGGTAGTGACCCCCTCCCCTTTTCATGATGGACCCGGGGGGGGCAGGGGAGGGTTGAAACCCCAGTGACCCCCCAGTGACCCCCCGGGTCCCTGGGGGGTTGGAACCCCCCAGGGACCCCTCCCGGTTTTCTGCCAGCAACGGTAGAACACGCTCTTTTCGAGATTGGCGCGGGGGGCGCATGTGGATACTGCCACCTATGGGGCCACGAACAGTTTGAGGGGTGTGCCGAAATGGGCGGGGGGGCGCATGCGGACAGCGCCATGAGGACCTGCGGTGGAGCCTCCTTATGAGGCCACGAATCGTGTGAGGAGTGGGCCGAAATTGGCGGGGGAGACGCATGCGGACTATGCCAGGGGACCTTCGCTGGAGCTCCTTATGGGGCCACGAAACGTCTGAGGGGTGTGGCGACATGGGGGCTCTGCCACTGGGACCTTCGATGGGGCTCCCCATGGGGCCACGAAACGTGTGAGGGGTGTGCCGAAATGGCCATGCGGAGGGCAGAAGGAAGAGGCAGGGACGGGAGGATGGGGGGAGGAGGAAGGTGAGGTGGAGCGCGGCGCTGCGGAATTAAAACGAGGGCCCAGCAACATAGGATGGTTGGAGAACAACGGGCTCCTCCCGATGGCCGTCAGGGAGAAAACGGCAGTGGCTCTCCAATCGGGACTGAAAGGTGCTCCCTCCGGCATCCCGCGGCCCAAGAGGGCCAAGGCCAAGAGAGCGCAGGCTGAACCGCGGCCATCCCGCCCGTCCCTGGTCCCTCTAGAGCTTCGCTCGACCTTTCGAGACACGGGCGTTTCCAGAAGGCGGCGGGCGGCGGGGACTCGCCGCATACATCTTCTGTGTGTAAGCCTCGGAGGCCACGCCGCTCGAGTGGGCCCGCACTTTGATAACAGAGCAAGTATCCCAGCACTGGAAGTAAAAGCTTGAGCGCTCCGTCTTGTCCCCATCCCCCTCATCAGGCCCACGAGGTCTCCGAAAGGCTCCCGAGAGGCCCCGAGGACACTCCAAAAGCACTGCCTACGAGAAGCTTCCAGGGTTCAGTAAAGACCGGTTTCCTTGTTTCCGAAAACCCTCGAGGATGGGTTCTGGGAGGCTTTTCGGAGGGTTTCGGGAGGGATTCGGAACGGTTTTCATCGCGTTGGGGGAAACCAGGCCCTAGCGAAACCTGGACTTTCGAACGCTAACCTACAATCAAGCCGCTGTGGCGGGAGGGGCCGAAGGCCACCAGACAAGAGCCTGAGCGCTCCGTCCTGTCCCCGCGCCTCCAGAGAACCTCCTCCTCCTCCTCCTCCTCCTCCTTCTCCTCCTCCTCCGTAGCCATTTTGGCTCAAGCCAACTTGTGTGGCACGGTCCGCGGCGCGCGCGCGCGCGCTGCACGGCTCGGGATGGGCAGGAGCGACCGCGACCATGGTGAACGTGGTGGAAGCGGCACCCCGTCCTGGACCCGCGACGCCGAGCTGGTGGCGGCGGTCGTGGGGAGCAGGAGCTTCTGGGGCACCTCGGCAAGTGGCGGCTGCCATGGTGGCCGCGGCCCTCCGCACCCTCAGCGGCGGCGCCCCGCTCGCTGTGGCCGAGGTCGTAGAGCTGGACGAGGTGGAACAGGAGCTCGACCAGCGGCTTGAGATGATCAAGCCCGAGCTCCGCGCCCGAGTGCCGACGGGGGCGCGTCGCGCCCGTCGCAACTTGGGCGAGCACGCGCTGCTCGGCCAGGGCAAGGAGGCGATCGAGGAGGCAGGCCGCACGCCTCAGCGGTCGCAGCGCCATGGCCGTGGCAAGCAGCGAAAGGTGGGCGAGTGCGACGAGTCTGCCTCGACGGGATCGCTCGACTCCGATGCCCTTTTGATGAAGCTGGATGGCATCATCTCCGAGATGGAGGTGCGGGGCGACCGGACCAAGCTAGAGGGCATCGTCAACCCCACCCTTGTCGGCTACAAGAACAAGGCGCTGGAGAATGCCGAGTCGACCGACCGTGGCCTCGAGCGGGACCGCGACCTCTTCGACATTGCATGGAAGTGGGCCGCTGCGGTAGCCGACTACCAGGACAAGCTCGAAGAGGCGGCGGAGAACCGCCAGGCGGCCATGGAGGCGACCACTCAGGCTGGCCTCGCCGACAAGTTCATGGAGGCCGTCAAGCAGAAGAGCGACGAGATGGGCGAGCAG